CTTATGGGTCTAGGAAAGGCGAAAGGTTGTAGAAGAAATAAGATGGGAAACAAAAGAGTCGTGAAAAAAGGCCAGAAAAGATAAAAAGCGAACCCCTTTTATGAAATGTGGTTGATAGAAGGTGAGAAGATGACAAATATGCGTGCGAGGGATATAACCTTTGAACCCACGATTTACCAAAAAATGGTGATCCGTTGTGCCTATTTTGTAGCGAACTTTACGATATGAATAAAATTGTCCTGCAAGCGGTGATACACAACTTTGACACCTCCCTCCTCTACAAGTGCATGGACCGGAAGTAACAGGGAAGACGCCGGTGTGAACTGGCTTGCCTACCCTCTCCGGCCGTAAGGCGCCAAGGCACCTGTAGGCAAGCCCGCATTTTTACCGACGCCATCTCGCCATTTTACCCGGTGCATGTACAACAACTGTGCACGTTCAAGTGAACAACCTCTTGTTGAAATCTCCCCCTGTTGATGACAGAGACGTCCTGGGTTCGAATCCCCGCTGGGGCGTACAATGATTTGTGAAAACGTCAACTCCCGACGTCGCCTTCGGCGCCGGGATACGGGACGGACGAGCGAATGCTTACGACTTTGCGGGCAGGCTGCCGGCGGGGCGGCGCTTCTTGCAGCCGGGGGTGCCTTCGACGCAGGGCTGCGGGGGCTTGGCGCCGGGCTTGCCGGGCTTGACGTCGTTGTCCTCGACGCCGGCGGCCTGCTGCTGCGCGACGATGTCGAGGAGCTGCTGCTCGAGCTGGCCGCCCTGGCCGCCGGCCGCGCCCGCCGCTCCCGCCACGGACATGAGGGCCTCTGGGGGCGCCACCACCACCACCATGCCGTCCATGTGGATGCGGTAGTTCTCCGACCCGTTCTGCCGCTGGTCGTAGAACTCCTCGCCCGGCTGCAGCGGCGTGTTTTCGGGCATGGCGGCCACGGGCGCGGGTGCGGGCGCGCTGGTGGTGGTCGAGGAGGCGGCGGGGGCGGCGACCGTCGAGCTGACGAGCAGCAGGGCGAGGGCGACGCACGCGGCGGCGCCGGCGGAGCTCACGGAGGGCGACATGCTGCAGGGGCGGTGCTGACCAGTGTGAGCCGAGAGGAGTGCTGCGAAGGTCTGGCCGGAGCGGTGCGCCGCGCCGAGTGATGTGGGCTCCGGCCGCCCCGCCCCGCCGGCATCAGCGGGCGGGGGCGCGGCGGGCGCGGCGGGGCGGGCGGGCAGGC